AGTGGATAGTGCCAACCAGCCGTTGCCATATCCTGCCGAACTTTATAAACGTCCTCTGCCACATCCAGAGCTTCCATTTCTATCTCGACGACACTCAAACCCTCGGCAGCACCAAGCGTACCCTGGGAACCCTGAAACGGCATCGCCACTTGGCTTTGCCCAACGTACTCCTTGCCAAGAAGATCCTTGCCGTCGGTGCTTCCCAGTGGAGCAGCGGCATTCACAAAGACGACGGCGCAGGCGTTCTCAAATGCTCGCGCCACACACACGTTCTGTAGAAACAGCGCCTCACATGAGCTGTTGAATCGACGGCCCTCGCCGCCGTCACCGGCCACCCAGTATGATGGGCAGATGACGATGCGCGCCCCGTCGGCGATGAGAGCGCGAAAGGCCTCCGGGAAAGCTATATCCCAGCACACGAGTAGACCCACTCTCCCCCACGGCGTGTCGAATGCACGGTGCGGGGACTCGGTATCAGCGGCGATATGAGGCCGCTCGGGATGCCACAGATTCTTCTTCTGATAACGTCCAAGCAGCTCTCCGTCTGGGCCTATGAAGTATGCTACATTTGCCAGTGGTCCTGTGTGGTCGCCGGCAACTCCACCCTGCGTCTTGGGCTCGAGCACCGTCCCAGGGGCAATGCCGATATGCAGCTCCTTTGCCAGCGTTTGGTAGCGCTTCAGGTACTCGGCGGATTGCCGTGTGGCTGCCTCGGGATCCTGCAGTTGTTCGCAAAACCCTGCGAGGTGGTACTCGGGCAGGACTGCAATACTGGCACCGTCCTGGGCAGCGTTGCGGATGTACTCAGCCGCGCGGTTAAAATTGCTGGACAGGTCGGTTGGCTGTGCGTCTGGATTAATTGATGTATACTTGAGGGGCGTTGGAAGGGTGGCAGACGTGAGAGTGGAGTTGCACTAGGGCAATCTTTAATTTGGAAGCCATTGCACTGAAGTGTATCGGAGGTCGTCAAACTTGCGTCGTTGGAGATCCACGAGTGTAACAAGCAGCTTCTTCCAGTACATAGTAACAAGTCGCACTTGAAACACGGGGGAGCAGTTACATTTATACCCGTTCCTATCTGATATTGGCCTGGCTCGCACCTCGGCTCGTCCCCCCTGGCATGAGGCCGCTTGCTCGACCAGAGCCAATAACGATAGTTACAAAACCTTGATCGGGTCCGGCAGATATACCCCACACATGCCTGTTCCGATGCCCAGAAAATATAATACCCGTCCCCGACTAAGCTCCGCTTAGTCCCCTACAAAACCACTAGACAGTGCTGAAACCCCCGACAGTTATAGTAGGAAATTACTAGTAAATCAATTATATTTGCGTCGCTAGAGCGAAACATGGATACCGCCCGACAACAGCGGGAAACGGTAATGCGTGCTCGTCAAAAAGGACACAGGAAAGTACGCAAAGCACACGAGAGGATATGGTAATAGCATGGCAGCTTCCGTCTCCACGAGGTAAGTCGCACTTGCGCCTCACGAGTGCCACTAATCCAGACAAGGAGAGCCGCCGCACCAATCCAAGCAAGGACAGCCGCCGCACCAATCCAAACAAGGACAGCCGCCGCACTAACCTCCACACACTCAGCCATGACTCACGCAGAGTAGTTTGGTAATGTCCTTGCTTTGTCCCCGCATATACCCACTTTCCCCACAACGCGCAAGACAGTGCGTCTCTCGCTAGGACTGAATAAGCCTCCCGCCACGCTAAAACAGCAGAAGTCCGGGGAGTCCGACACATGGTCGGACCCATCTGTAAGGGAAGTGGAGTCCAAGAGTCCGTGCAGAGACGAGTCATGTATTGTATTGTATTGTATATATACCACCACGTGTCTACACGTTTTTGAACGGGAGTGTCAAGGAAATGCCTCCGTCCTGTTGCCAAACCCAACTATATTGTTCTCATTATTTACCTAATATCATCGGGAGATCTTCCAGCACGTCGCCATGCCCTTCAGCGTAGATATAGAGAGATCCGACTCGAGGCCGTTCCCGCCAGGCACCGTGCAGCTAGAAGACCGTAAGCGAGCCATCCTCCTAAACCGTCCTGTCCATTGCCTTACAGTGGAACAGTTACTAACCAGCGACAACACGGGCGGGTCATTTTACAACCGGTCCCGAGCGATGACCCGAATGATCCGCTGAACTGGTCGCGCTCGCGAAAAAATGCCAATTTCGCCCTTGTTTGCTTCTATGCTTTGATTGTCTATGCTATCATCGATATTGGCACGGTTGTCTATGGCGAAGTCCACGAAGAGCTTGGCTTTTCGTGGGAAGAACTCAATCAATCCTTTGCCGTCTCCACTGCTGGCTTAGCAATTGGCGGTATCATGTTCATCCCCTTTGCATTCAAGTTCGGTCGGCGTCCCGTTTATCTCCTCAGCATCGTCATCATGGTAGTGACGACCATCTGGCAGGCGCGTATGCAGACCCTTGGCGACTTGTTCGGGTTCAACATAGTCTCCGGGTTGGCAGGCTCAATCACTGAGACAATTTGCGCTCTGACGAT